TAAACAAACATATTCGATACAACAAAGTATAACTATTAAATTCATATTAGAAAAGAACAATATTTGCTGTCACACTTATAACCATTTGAAATGCTTATGAGATTAATAGAAATTGGGTAAAAACTGGTGTTTTAATAAACACTGCCAAAAATGTAAAGCTCCACACATTTTATATTTCAAATCATTCCATCCCTAACAACAGTCACATTCTTATACAATGTAAAAAGCAACAATAATTGGCATTTGGACTGACACGTAAATCAGTACATTCTTGTTTGCACACTGTCCCAGTTCTAACACATATGATAAATCAAGCATGGAACATTAAGACGTGACAAGAGAATTCACTGGCAAGTAATCTGACACAACAAAAACTGTAACACACTTAAAAATAAAAGAAAAATACAACCATACAACTTAAAACTGCCAGCAGTGTTAAAAAGTTTTATGGTAATATTGAGCAACGTAACGGTTTTTGTACTGACATTAAATTTGCAGAAAACTTTTAAAGATAATAATTTCAAAATATAATTTTAACCTTTTCCTTTGAATGATGTTGCACATTTTAATCACTATTTTGGGTTACTTCATTCAAGTTTCATCAAAGAACAAAACACAACCAAACTTAATACATTTAAAATAACGTCCCAATTATTGCAATGTAACATACAACAAAATATTGTATCAATAAAGACAATTCGTCAATAGCTACTCAACTTCAAATGGACCTATTGAAATATCTCTACTGTTATCAACACAACATACAGATTTTTGGCATTGTCATTTGACAGTTTTAAAAGACATACCAAGACATTAAACACACCTACAAGAAACAGCTGCTGAAACCAAAAGCAAATAACACAAAACTACGAAGTGTTCTTTCCCCCCCTTGCTCACTATTCAACTGCTTATATTTTATTAACCCTTTCAAGACAAGGTCCACTATAAGGTCAGCTTTTGGTGTACTTGAATAAAAGTTAACAGTGACTACACAGACAATAACAAAATGGAAATATTTACTTTGACATACTTAAAAACAGAAAAAAATATTATTGCATTGTGCATATCAACAGTCCTTGAAAAAGTACATGAAATGCAACCTACATATTGATAGTAAAATTACGCTACATATGACATTTTACTTTCATACAACAAAAAGAAATTAAAACTTCATACTGCAAAACGTAACCAGAAGATAGCAGAAGGTGAATGTACTATGCATTTTGATCTACGTTATACAGAAAATCGAAAAAGTTTTAGTAATTACTGAATATTTTCATCACGGGCACAAAAGGGTTAATTAAGAGCTTTCATTTACTGGTCACAAGTACTCCACAAAAATCCAAATCACATTCCAATAAAATTAATTCCCACAAAGCCAGAACTATGTACTTTATGTCCACGGCAACATAACAATACACCTCTTATAAACAAAAAGTGGTTACAACTTCATTATAATTGTATACATTAAAAATATAGGAATGGATCACATTTAACATCTAAGTAATAACAAATTAATGTTATTAAAATTTTGTGTGCTTGAGGTGAACGCCTCCCTTGCCTTGTCCTTATACCAGCTCTGCCTGATCATTTGCATTTTATATTTGAAATTACGTACAATGAACTAAAAGCAATTGATCATGAATGAGTGGTACTGTATGGATGGAGCTAAAATTGACAAGCTTACCAAAGGAAACAGAAATAATGGCTCACAGATATATGCAGTATATGTATACATGGGTGAACTAATGATGGGCACTGATATATATGGCAATGTTTCAAACTCTATTCAAGAAACTGACTTCAGTACCAACCTGAATTAACCAAAATTATAAAATGTGATAATCATTATGCAGCCTGATACATATATATACACACACACAGGCAGCCCTCGATTTACGCCGGGATGCGTTCCTGGATGAACCGGCGTAAATTGAAACTCCTTTATAATGTAAATCAATGGGAAGTCAATGGCATGCGTTCCCAGCACCCAAACATTGACGAGTAATATAATGGCATTACATTTACAGCTCTGAAATAACGTAAATAAAAAAGGGAATTTAAAAAAAATATATTTTATACACTTACAATCGGCAATTCGTTGGTCCCCGCGATTGACTGCGATTCTTTCATGTGATTGATGTGTACAGTCATCTCTGCTGCTATGCGATAGTTGCTTTCATATTAAGACGCCGACCTATAGAAAATCGCATAGTAACAATAACCCCGGTATCTCCGCAGAGATTAAATTAGTCCTTTGAAAGTTTAAAGTGCCAGGAATGAAATTTCATAAGAGCAAACTCGCATATGCAAAGGTTTGCATTTCACAAACAGCTTTTACCGATTCATCTATCTCATTGGAGCAAATTCGCGTTAACGAAACATACGTAATTGCAGAGATGACTTTATTTATAATTTTTATTCAAAATCAGCGATGAAAGAATTACGATTTAGTATAAGAAGCAGTACGAGAAACATCGTAAAACGTTATAAATAATAGTAAAACATATTTTTTTCAATTTCTGGCTTGCTAGTTTCAATATATATATATATATATATACATTCAACATCATGATAAAACAGAAGAACTTTACAAGGGAATATATTAGAAATATACACTGACAATAATTCTAAAATAAAGAAGTATACAATATATTTGTATCAGAATAATGCAACCGTACTCATGACAAATAAGAGTATAAAGAATTGTCCAAACAGTGCCCACCATTAGTATAACAGACCAAAAAAAAAAGTTATTCATTAATATCTATCACATAGTACACCTGACATTTCATCTCTTGTGCTGTCAAAAGGCCGTGGTTTCAATTACCCACTCATCAGAGATCTCTGCAATATTTGTATCACAATTTATGCATCTACAGCACATTTAAATTTGGCACATAAAATATTATGTCATGAGTGATAATGATAATGTTAAGAATTATGAATCATGAAAGGACTATGTATTCTTATCACAAATGAAGTAATACCTGAGATAAAATCTGTATTCAATGTACATTAAAGTACCAGCAGCTAAAGTAGAAGGTTTCAGGTTTCACAGCAATTTTTTCTCCATTCTTGAGTGATGACACTTTGTTGTGGTGTAATGTTTGCTAACAGCAAGAGGAAATGTAAGACTTGAAGGTTTTCATGGCGGTGCGTGTGAAGATGGCTGTCTTCTGGATTGTCACACCATGTTTACCGACGTTTCAGAGGTCCTTGCTAGCTCCATCATCAAGGGCTCAACAACCCAGAAGACAGCCATCTTAAGAGAGAATGTCACAAAAATACTTGCCAATGGACACTTCAAAGTCTGGATAAGATGTTACGACTGTGGTCTTTCAGGTTATGAGAATGTGGAGTCTTGTACGTAGTAACCAATGTTTTTGAAGAATCTGCTACTTCCATCTTCAGCATTAATTTAATCCTAAACATGGAAATTATGGCAACCACCTACAAGACTACATATTGTCATAACTCAGAAGAATGTAATTTGAACTCTCACCATGAAAATTTCAAACCTCATACAGGATAAAATTATTTTTACAAGGATTTTTGTACTGTCTAATCCAGGGGTCGTCAACCTTTTTATACCTACCGCCCACCAGTGCCGCACTACTGCCCACCACCATGAATTATTATCTATATTCAAAGTTTAGAGATGGAATTCAAAAGCATATTTTAAAAAGTCAAACTCACGAAGTTGTTAGCATTGTATTGGATATATGGAGGAAGAACAAAATTTGTAACAACGGACAAAAACCCCCACCGCCCACCATGAAAGCTTGAATCGCCCACTAGTGGGCGGTAGGGACCAGGTTGACGACCCCTGGTCTAATCCAACTCACTATCTGTTTTCAGAAAAAATTACATCTGACCTGCTTCCATCTTGGCCATGCCCTATCATAGCATGAAATTTGCCGCTGGCTTGTTGTCAAGAACTATTATAAACATCAAAACCATGCCGCTCACTATACAGCAGATTCACCTGAAGATGAAGAAATCCTGGTCCCCCAAAACATCAGCAAACCTGCTAGCCACAACATCATCGCCAACCAAGAAATGGAACAAGATTCTTTTTGCTGAAACATCTGATTGGGCATCAAGTGACAACTTATCAAACATTAGTATGCTCCAATATATAGTATTTAGCATTATAAATTCAACTATATACAGAATTTGAATAATGTACACAACCTACTTTACAATATTATATCTTCCACTTCATGCAAAATGGTCTCTTCTCTTAAGGTTTTGTGAACAAAATTTTGTAAGCATTTTGCATTCCTTCCATGCAAGCTAAATACAACACCCATTACATCTTATCAATATGAGACGAGAAGTACAAATCAGAAAGCTCACCACATAATTCTGATTTCTCTTTATCAAAAATTAATAGAATAAAAAATGTCACCTCAAAGCACGGTACAGATGAACTCCCAAAACGTAGTGTATATGAAATATGTTCAGACAATGAACAATGTCCAACACGTCTGCGACATAACCTACGCTGCATAAGGGAACTGATTCTCTCATAACATACCACATCACGATTAGACATTTTTTCCTTGTTAATGTTCTCAAGGACCAATGACATACCCTCCCTCAGAAAACTGTCATAAAGTATGTCCTTATATACATTAACATTTTATAATTCTTTAAATTATTACCAGTAATAGATAAGCATTACTTAATCAACTGAGCTACTATAGCTACCATGAACTCTTTTATAAGTTAAAATAATTCCTGAAGATTTCTGTCTTCTGGGTTGTTGCGCTGTGTAGTCTTGTCGATGTTTACCAACGTTTCAGAGGTCATACTGCCTCCGTCATCAGGGCGATGAGTATGAAGATTTCTAGCAGCCTACACAGCGCAAGAACCCAGAAGACAGAAATCTTCATACTCACCGCTGTGAAAAACTCAAATCTTACATTCAATAATTCCTGTCTATAAAACACGCGCAATCACAAAGCTGTCATCACCCCCATCTAGTGCCGAGGTCAAGAAAGAGAGGAGGTTTACCTCCACTTAACCCAAACAGCCTGTATGGCACATAGCGGGACAAACTTTTTACATACAACTAGTGATAATGGTGATGTCAGTAGTTAATAGTAACAACAATGATAATGTTCCAACTATTAGCAGAAAACTTGTATAAATCATGTGGTATGAGGAAAGACAAGTTTCAGTAATAGTGATAAGGTGGTGATTCCTTAGATATTTCTCAACATTCTAGCTTTTGAATCATTCAGGTATGTGGACTAGTTTAGGGTTATGAATTTTTTTTTCATGAAAGAAGCTTTTCATGAAACGGAGCTATAGACAGGCTGGAAACCTGGTAGCCTCAAATTGCTAATGTTCATTATATATACTACATAAATAAGACAGTGACGTATTAAATTAGTTTAAGTTAAATTAAATTAATTTGGAATACAGATGCAGAGACCTCAGCTGAATTAGTAGTCAAGACCTGTGTCAGCGACTTAGCCCATAAAATACTGGCAATATTGCACTTGCCTGATACAATGTCATGAACACTCCTTATAACTATTTTGGCACATCTGTAAGTTTGGTTTCATCCTGAATATTCATATATATATATTTGTAGGCTCAATGTTTGATAGAAAACTAATGGCAACAGTTCTCAGCACGCAACTATTGTCTTGTCCTGCAGCTTGACATAACGTGACTCCCTTTCTCCATTTCACATGCCAACACAAGCCAGTACAATTTATGTAAGATTTCAGGTTCTCATGAAGATGGTTGAATTCTGGGATGTTGCACTGTGTGTGTAGTCTGGTAGAAACTGACCAACGTTACAAAGGTGCTTACAGCCTCCCGTCATGAGGCTGACGATAGAAAACAGCCATCTTCAGTCAACTTATGTTCTAGGCTGCTTAATGGCTTCCTTGCAGATGTCGCCTTCAATGTCTTTCTTTAGAGTACGCTGACTGATGAGAATACAGTCGTAGCTACCTTCCAATTCAGCTACTCTCAGCTAGTTCAAGTTGGTGAAGAAATTTGGCAAAAAAGGACATAGCTATTTATGAATCTTCCAGCCATTTCAAAGCAAACTGACAAAAAAGCCAAACACACTCTCTCATATTTATCTCATATGCTCATGTTTATCAATCAAATCCTGGCAGCAGTAATTTTAAATTGGTAGAAACACATCACTTGCACTAATTCTTAAATATGTTTAACAATTTAAACTTGCTATTCTATTTTATTAGCATTTTGTGTTGTCTTTTGCTAGGATACAAATACAGTGAGAGTAGGAATTTTAATGTTAGACGCTGCATCATCTCCAGGCTGCTCTATGGGTGATGCTGCACTGTTAGGACCCTTAATCTGAGATGCTGCAGCCTCAAGTAACATTCCCTTATCAGCAAGAGAGAGATGTCTAATTGTGGTGGGAGACACACAAACGTCAGCATCCCCACTGCTAGCGACTGTTTCATCAGAACAGTTAGATGAATCACACAAAACGTTCTTGAACCCAGCATTAGGTGTGTTGAGATCCACATCACACACATTAGCGCAATTCAATACCGGCATGACTGTGGTTGGTGTAGGAGAGATACCAGAAGCTTTGTTAATATCAATCAAAACAGGAATAATACTATTATCAGTGTTGGGGGAGGCATCTCCAGATGACATGCACGTGGGAGCAAGTAAATATGCAGCCTGCTCCATCGCACTCTTGCTTGACAAGGCAGACACCAATCTCCCATCACAGTCAGACAAAGCTGTCCTCATGTTGTTCCCAACCCCAGCAGACTCCACCTTACTGATGGCAGGGCCTGAATGTTCTGCCCCACTGCCAGATAGGAGCTCCTGACTGCTACCGCTACTCACGGTATTTGCTGGCTGTCACCATGTCTGAGCCTCATCTCTGTATGTTGAACCCTGTTGCAAGTACTGCTCTGCAATCGGAACCGGACGCATGCGGGCACTCTGCTTCTTCTGGGTCAAAACATGGCGTACACTTCAAAAATGAATCAAATTCAACGTCACATTTATACATATGCTGTAAACTTTTAAAATCAAGGAAAGTCAAATTTTGTACAAAATTTCAAACTGATGGTCTTAACACACGTAATTGTATGAACAAGGTGGAACTAACTACAATATGCTTTGCCAATATATTGCATCGCAAACAATAAGAAAACCATACAGCCAAGATGTAATGACAATGAAAAGCAACATTTTTTCTTTAAACATCTGATATGCCATCTTGAGATCTAATCAGCAATTTATTCTCTGGCATGAAGATAAATTGGGGCAAAAAAGAGGCATGGCCTGGTACAAATTCAGTGAGGAGACAAAGTGTACACAAGAAATTAGAAAAGGGTTGTGTCCTCTGTATCAACAATACTTCTGCTAATAACAAACCCTTAGAGTGGAAAGTTATTTAAATAAAATAAATGTCTGTACTAGGTATATGCAAGTGTGTGTGCATGCGCACACACAGACATACTTTAGAAAGAAAGACCTTTCAGTGTAACGGCAGATCTCTCAAAGTAAGAGGGAAGTTACGGAGACATGTTAAGGTAAAAAAACTTCCATTAAGAAACAGCTGATAAGTATGTATTTATTAATACCGCACCCCTTCCACATCCTTTCCAATTATTATTCACGATCACCCTCTCATTTGATGCTATATAGTCTGAGCTACTGAAAAAGCATTGTTAAATAAACTATAAATAAATATACAGGAGCCATCGGTACAGAAAAATGAACTTGATAAACAATAATATATTTATTTATTTCCGTCAGTACACAAACTTAGTTGTTAAAATTGGTGTTATTAAAGCTAAAACTTTAAAATTTGGCGCTTATCATCGCTATTACGATGTTACAATTTTAGCGCTCATTATTTTATTTCACAACATGTTTCAATGCAACCGCATCATCTTCAGGCTATTTTCGTCTTTAAAACTAATGTATATTTATTATGCAACTATCGTTGATTTGTTTGTTTTGTACAAAAAATGAAAACTACAAAACAAACAAATCAACGATAGTTGCATAATAAATATACATTAGTTTTAAAGACAAAAATAGCCTGAAGATGATGCGGTTGCATTGAAACATGTTGTGAAATAAAATAATGAGCGCTAAAATTGTAACATCGTAATAGCGATGATAAGCGCCAAATTTTAAAGTTTTAGCTTTAATAACACCAATTTTAACAACTAAGTTTGTGTACTGACGGAAATAAATAAATATATTACTGAATTAAGCACAAACATGAGGCATTTAAATTACAAATTTGATAAACAATACTATATTCGTAACTACAACATTCTTTTGTCTTAGAGACGCTGCCAAGGTTATGCATACAGCTAACAAGGCAGACCCTGATGATTACTTCTTACAGATAAAACACACCACCACATAACAAAAATAGTAATTTTCATAAAATCTTATACTGTACAGTTCTACTAAAATTTGCACACACATTCCAATTTGCTTAATGGACTCTTTACATAAGGCCTACTACGCACAAATTTCCTAACTAGTTTCTGTAAAACACAATTTATTTAAGAAATGAAGTACCTTTCTTCTGAAGGGGAAACATCCTTTTTTCTCTGGTTCTGGGATGGCATCAATGATTAAGTCTACTGTTGGAGTATTATTGGGTCCAAACACATTAAGCTCTTTAAAACATTCTGTCTCAATCATCTGCAATGCAAAAGAAAAAAAAAATTAACACTGTTAGTAACAAAGTACACTATGAACATAATCCTTAACCAGCTACAATCACTCATTATTTCCCTAATACCTACCTATCGAGCAATGGAACCCACACTGCTAATACCAAAGTTTCAAATGTCATCCTGGAGACAAGCCACCCTGACAGAGGCCTTGTGTTTTCCTCAGTCCCTCCAGGCAATTGCCAAGATAATATTTCAAATTAGGCTGTTACCAATGCCTTCCAAATCATTATTCATTAATCACTGTTCACCTGGCAACATATAGTCATAAGTCATAACAGAAATATCTGGATACTGGGAACGACCCGTTCTTCAGTGCCCTGAGCATCTGCGGGTCCCAACTTTCGTTGTCTTTGACGTATTAGACATTCATTAGGACTCCTTGGACGAGGGATCGGCCCGTCGCAAGGCCTCTACCTGTACACAGGACAGCACAACACAACATCCATGGCTTGAGTGGGATTCGAACCCACGGTCCCAGCGACCAAGCGGCACAAGGCCCACGCCTCAGATCGCGCAGCCACTGTGGACCCCTAACAGAAATATCAAATAAATAAATCATGATCTGTCCTCACTACTTCCCTTAAATCCATCTTAATGTTATCCCCCCCTTCTAGGTCTTTAACCTGGTTCCTTTAATATGAGATTCTAGACCAAAATTCTGTATGCATGTCGTGTCTCTCAAAGCAAATGACCCAAATCAATGAGACTTACCAGATCTGACTAACAAGCTTTTCACTTTAATGCAGGAAACAGTGTTGCTGTACATCGCATTTAAACTCTACTGTGTGTGGTTAACAGGAAATCTACAACTTGCAACTAAATTCAACTACACTAAAAATTCATGCCTGTACCTCCTGCTGCCAGGGGATGGACACGGACCCTGTGTTAAACTTGCTATAGAAAGTATCATCTGTGGCATCCAGGTTCACACCCTTCACAGTCGAGAACTGCTCAATATCCAGCACGTCTTTTGCGTACACAGCGTGTGGCTGCAGGAAGGGGAATCTTGATCATTAGCACACCACACAAAAATAAATGCAACAATACACAATAAAACCTGCATCGAGTTAGCACACCTGATACATCAACAAGTACTGCACATCAACAAACAAAATACAACTTACACAGTCTGAAGACATTTTAAAATATTCAGTATCAAATGGTTATATATCCACTAATAACATTTTCTAAGCATTTCCGCCAAACGATATATACTACGAGGCGCGTCCACAAAGTAAGTTTCTCACTTGTCCCACAGCTAGCAAACCTTATATTGCGCGAAGCGACTGTGCGTATGTGATAGAGCAATGACGTAGCATGGCGCATGCACTAACGGCACTTCCCGCGTTCTCACAGTAGCATCGTTGCAGCTGTTGAAGATGGAGGTTCTTATTCCAGCTCCCGCCGACTGTGAAGTGCGGTCAGTGATAACGCTAGGCCGCACACGGCTCGACAGACAGCGAGTCTCCTGCAGGAGTTCAGCTGGGAGGTGTTTAATCATCCACCCTACAGCCCGGAACAGGGATTCCAAAGTTGGTCCCACGGTATGACAAATGTCTCAATTCCGGTGGCGAATCTGTTGAAAAATAGCTGGACACTTGCTGTATCTGTTGCAATAAATATTTCCATGAAATTGTGTTTTGTTTCTGTAAACGGCCCCAGGGAAACTTACTTTGTGGACGCGCCTCGTATTTTTTACAGCCTTCGCTCCATCAGACATGGTGGCGGATAAATATGTTGGAATTCTATGTGACAACTAATAATTAAAAGACTCTAAAAATTTGGCCATCCTCTTATGTATCTAAATGTTTAACTATGCATGTGGTAGCTATGTTATACTAACATGAAACACTGTAAAGAAAACAGAAATCTCAACAATAAGTTTTGAGAAGAATTTATGACAGCTACTTTCCTTCTTTTTCCTTCAATCTATATTGTGCTGTTAGAAATAATTAAGACAATTTAGTGACGCATTTTTGTACATAAATTACATGAGTACAAATTCTAATTACATCAAATTTGCCTGAAATGACCTCAAAGTTTTGTACCATCACAACGTAACTGAATAACATAAAATGCTTCACGGGAGTTCATATATATGACAACATATTGGTATTACTGATAGTAGGAATTAGAAAAGTGCAGCCTCTAATGGAATGGCATTCATGAAAAACAGCATATCCCAGAAGTCAGTCATCTTCAAAATCCTTCTTTTGTTTCACAGGTAGACACACACACACACACACATAATAATACCAGAAGTCTTGCTTTCCTTGTGAAATAACAAGTAAAATAGGTTAAAACATGTTTTAGCATCAGCAGTTCACCTGTTCCCCAATATTTTCAAACAGGAAAGATAATTTAAGAACATTGAGCGCTGAAGCCATACAGCTGAAAAACCATGCACATCACCGATCAGCTAAAAATAAATAAATATTAGTCACTACAGGAACACTGATGTACATTTTCGGATATCGAAAGTGTGGCCGACGAATCTCATGTGCTCCGCACATCTGGAAACTACAGGAAAGGAACACAAATTAACACGATACAATCCACACACTTAAAAACATAATGTGCATTATACATTATAGTGTCCACATACTGCATCTGTTCCAATACCTCAAAGCATCAAGTAAGATAAACACTACATTTGGGGAAAGTAAAAAGGAACAAAAAATCTTTATTTTAACAAATTAATTATCATGTGTATGCTTTTCAACATTATAGTAAATCCTAAATTTAATGAACATAGCACGATGGTATTGCCAAAATTTTTGGCACAAGGTATTACAACATGACATTTTCGGTTTTACGGAACAAAGTCTGTTAAAAACTAAAAATGCCTGCTAATGACCACTGGATTTCTTTCTAAACTTAATTATCTCTCTACACTAGCGTTTCAATAAATCTTGTGTTACCTTAGGTGTCCAGTTCACATTGCTTATCTTGTCTAACGATGTTTCTAATGGAAATTATGGCCAAAGGATATATTACTGGCATTGTAAAAACAACTATGCAATTTAGCAGACAAATGGTATTACTGGACACCCCTTCCCTCCCTATAAGTCTGTTAAATCAAACCAATATTACATAACATGCCAAATAAAATGAGAAAATCACGAATAATAAAAGGTAAATACAGTGAAACCTCGATGCATCATTTTCGGCGGGGGGGGGAAATAAAAACGATGAATGCGGGAAAACGATAGATGCGGGAAAGCATTAAAAATTTAAAAAAAAACAATGTTTCTCTTTCAAAGTTACTTCTTTTTACCAAAAAAGTCTTTAATGGACAACTGGTTTGTCGAAACTTTACGTTTTAGACCAAACAGAGCACTTTCCACGTTCAAAAGGTTTTCCTCGTCACGTTCACTAATATTAAGCGCATAAAAGAACAACTTCACTTTCGCCAATGCAGCGTGTGCTTCGGCAAAACTCGGCAAAGCTTCGGGCTCGCATTCGTCGTCTCCCTCTTCCTCACCACTCCAACCCCCTTTGCGGACAATAACAGGAAGAATGGAAATACTATTACTGCCGAACTCAACGAAACGTAGCTGTAGAAGACAC